GGCATTGGGTTCTGCCCGCGTAGGTTCGAATCCTGCCGTTGTCGCTTATAATTATTTATTTATTTATTTAATTGTTATTATTTATTTATTTATTTATTTATTTATTATTTTCTTTTTATTTATTTTATTTATTATTATTTATATTTATATATCTCTTCTTTATGCAATAAAATGATTAAATAATACACAGGAGGGGGGCCCCCCTTGTTATTAGTACCTAATAAACAGAAGTATTTTTCTTCTTTTGTTTTTATTTATTATTATTTATTTTATTTATTTTTATTTATTTTTTTATTCTTTTTTTATTAATTTTATAAAATATGACGAATAAAATGATAAAATAAGCGACAGACATAAACATTCCTTAATGTTTACGTAGTGCATAAAAGAAAAAGAAATTAATTCCTTTTTCTTTATTGTTTTGTTTTCCTTTCCTTATTTATTTATTTATTTATTTACTTGTTTATTTGTTTTTATTTTCTTTACTCTTTTTTATTGTGTGTATTTATTCTCCTCCTGTCTTGTATTTCTCCTCATTTCTTTTACTGTTGTGTTATTATTGTTAACATTTCTTTCTCTCTTTTTTTTGTATAAATAATAAACAAAAGAAATACAAAAAGAATCTTAGGCCTATTAATACAATATAATATACTAAAGGAGATGAGGAAAAAGAAGAAAGGGCTTCCTTAATATCTTGTTCCCTCTCTCCTCCTCTCTAGGAATTGGGGTTTAGGGTTTAGGGTTTAGGGTTTAGGGGTTGGCTCTTAAGAAGACGTAGAAGAAATCTACTGAATCCCTCCCTTAATATGACGGGAAACCTCCTCCATAGGTAGTAAACGTCGTAAAAAGACCAAAAAAAGAGCACCTGCTGCTGCACAAAGGGGGAAAAAGTTTATTATTAATTAAATATATTTCCTTTTTGTGAAGAAAACACGATGCAGATTTCGTGTTATACAGCATAAGGCATAACGAGTAGAAATGCAACAAGAAATGGGGAGTAAATGACCATCATTTTAGTTTATTTTATAATTATTATGAATAATAAAAGCATTTTATTTACATTTAAATAAAAATACAAAAAAAATAAACATGAATATTATGTTAATCGCATAGCTTTCCTTTTTTACTTGTTCGGGTGTATAGGCACCTCGATTGGCGGCAAAAAGGAAACAACGCGTAGTCTATGAATATTTTTTGTTTAAATGTTGGTAATAAACACTTATTGATTAATAAAATGATTTATTTTATCGTAAGTACTCTACAATATTCACTAAAATATGTTTTTTTTTCTTTGTTTCCCCTCTCTTGCAACTCTAGCGATGTAAATAAATAGATAGGAGGACAACATGAACACAAAACATAACTCGGACTATTTGACGCCTTTCTTGTCAATAAAAGAGAATGTCTTTTTTTTTCTTTTATATTTTAATTTAAATAAACATTCTCCTTCATGAAGAAGGCAATTATACAAGTCTCTTCTTCCCCAGCCATTCGCCTTTCTTAACACAATACAAGAAAGCTGAATAATGCCTTCCCTTATTAAAGTTGCAGCGAGTGATTAATGGCAAAGAAAAAAGCATCTGTATATTCCTTCTCTTTTTTCCTTTTATTCCTTTTCTCTTTTTCTTCCTTAATGGTGTTATTCACAACATCAGCAGAAGCAGCAACCTGAACCCTAGCAGCTATTTTGCCTCAGCAGCAGCAGCAGAAATAGCAGCAGCAGAAACAGCAGCAGCAGCAACAACAATCATTCCTGTTATCGCATGCATGCCTCAAGTATACATACA